TTTGGTTCTGAAACTGAAACATTAACTAATTATAATTTGCTAATTTTGTATAAAAATTTCATATGTAGGACTTCACAGTGTTGTAGCTAGACATGGACCTAGATGAACAACTGTCATTCTGTTATTAACTGTTAAGCAATTTTAGTGTCAATGTTTTTTCCCAGTGAATTTTCCAGTGAATGTAATTCAAAAGTAACAAGTGTAGGTGTTTATATGTGTTAGGCTACTGCAAATAATTTATTATATACAAGACTGACTTATTGCCAATGAATAAAAATAAGTTAAGTATAGAGTTTGGGTTTATGAGCATTCAAGAAATATACTACAATATATAAATAAACTATAAAATAGCTGTTTATAATTTGGTATAGAAACATCTTTTTGTGTACACTGATACCCTGCTACATAAAGTCTCTGAAACCTTCAAAAATTTGATCAAATATGTTATTAACTACAAACTATGTTTTTAATGATATACAGTTACTATGCAATCTTAAAGCAGCTCAGGAGGAAAAAAAATGTTTATATGCCGTACAACTGGTTTTTCTAAGACACAAAATTTGACGAAAAACTTGGGAATGGTTAAGGAGATACAGATATTTGAATATTTTAAAAACTGGGTGGGGGGTGGAGGTAGAAAAAAGTGTGGTTTTATTTCTCTGGAGCCTGACCTTAATTAATTGATTAGCAGCCACTTTATGGTCTGCGCAAAAGAATAATATACGAACTGTATTAACAAGAAAAATATATTGGTATGGAGTAGCTTTCTATACAAATGTCAACACTTAGTCTAGAATGAGGGGTATGATTATCCCTTTTAAAATGAAATTCAAATTTTAATTACTAAAATATATTTAAAAATTCTTCTCTTTTCCTTAATTTCTTCACACTTGGCTGCACTTCTGAAAATTCTACTCACTTGTGTAGCCGATGTAGTAGATGTATACGTGCTCATTAACAGCTAGGATGTCTCATAGGTCGCAAGATAACTGCTTTAATAGAAACGTGTTGATTGTGTCAATGGTAATTTTACTGAGTGTTGAAACACATCAGATCAAATAAATAAATAGGTGTTGGATTTTGTCAAAAATCACAACCTTCAATCCCGCCATGTATTTTAACGATACTTAACCAAAAATAACCACAAAAAAAAAGAAAAAAAAACGAACAGTCGACAAATGCATCAAAATAAAATTGAAGTGACGGAACGGAACCAATAGAAACCTGAAGGTTTGTAGAGGCGCCATCTTAACTATACTTTAACTACATACTGATTACGGCAATATCTGAATTGTATGACTAAGTCATATAAGACTGAAGAAAAATGAGTAATAGAAATATTTATTGATACATACGCTTTCCTGTTGTCAATTGCTTTTTTATGCCCATAACTAAAATTCATTCAAGTTGGGAAGGGGGGTTAAGCTATGAAAGTCTTGGTCACCTAGGTGCCCTGGTGGGGGTCAAGAACTGTGTTGGGTCTGCTGGGGAATGACCCTTGCAGCTGAAGTATTCTAATATGTAAATGGTGAAGTACATTGTGTTTTTTATGTAAGAGGAAGGGGTAGTTTTTTTTTTAATGGGATTGCTTGAAAAAGGTGGTTCAAAGCAATAATAATTTGCATTTTAACTCTATCAACTGAAATACAAGGATAAACGAAACAACACTGAATCAGGGACCAATGTACTGTATCTGTGGAGCACATGCGCAGTGGTTACTGCCTGTAGCCAAATGATATGCTGCTCTCCCATATTTGCTACTGATAGTATTATACACACTTTTTAATATATCATTTTTTCCCAAAACTTCATAATATTAGGTCAGATTTAAGAAGTTCCCAAGCCATAAATCCCTGAGGATTAAAGTCTAACATCTGTATCAAGATGGAGTTGACAGCTATTTTTTAACAAATTCAAAATATCATAATATAACTTTATCACTTGTTACAGGTGTCCATGATACACTGAAACCAAAACAAAAGAAAACTCTTGAAAACTTAGCAAATACATTATATTCCAAGTGCTTTTTAAGATTCCCTATGGTTATCACACTTAAGTGAACATTTTCCAGGGTTTAAAGGGATCTTGGAAAGCCTACAAAATTCTTAGTCATCCTATTTATTAATCCAGGCAAAATTCCATTGGGAATTATATTGAGGTCACTGTTATAATACTGTATATCTAGAAGGAAATACTAGATCCACCTCTGATACTTATACTGTATATTTATACATGTATGTTTATATGAAGGGGTAACTTAATGTTTAAAGGCTTGTATGATGGATAAACTATAGCATAAATTTGCAGTACACCATATACTGTAGTTCTGAGAAAACTGTGTGTTGAGATTATCTCTACGAGTGAAGCTATAAGCGGCAACTTTTTTCCGTGCCAATATATGTGATTCTCCATAGAGAATGCAACATGAGGAGACACCCACGATGGGTCGTTGTTAATGGCAATCCGCTCGGACAGCCACCAATAATCAGGAGACAGCATCGCATTTTCAATTGCTTATATGGAACGGAGGTAGATTTGACAACTCATGGTCATATGACTATTAGCAGTGCGTACCTGACTTTTGAGGTCTAATATTTTTCTTACTCTGCCTTAGAGACTTCACTGCTTACGTATGTGATCCTCCTCTTCTACATTGTAGAGCTGGAGATGAAAACCTTTTCAGCACTTAACAGCATTAAGTGTTCACAACCAACTTCGGTCATCAAGTCGAATGTTTGTGAGAGTTTTGTATATTTCGTCTGTATGGACTGAGACAGTTTGCCAAACTTCTTGTGCTCTGATGCTACCATCCTATCAATCTGCAGTTTTATTTTTACCCCTCCTATTCACTTGTACTGTTGTGGAGTTTAGGAGATCATCTTTACTCACAAGAAAATGTTATTCTCTGACTATAAATCATTGTCTCATCTTACTCTTCTTATTCATTTATAACATTTTATAACATTGTACTGTAGAGTGTTTACATTTACATTGAATATTCAAACTTTAATCTCTTTGTTTTGACTTTATCCCCATAAAGTGAAACTATAAATCGAAACTAAAATTAACCCTGTGGCAAGCTCTCGTCTCTAGAGGGCTTCATGAGTTGATCTTGTAGCATGGTTCAAGAGAGCTAATGAATCTTGACTGTAAATTTTGTTAAAAAACATCAAATTAATTATAAAAGTGAAAGTTAACAGTAAGTTACACCAGTGTATATGTACTCTGTGTAAGAATTTTAAAATCCTAATGAAATTATGATAGATTATGATTTTTGTTTTACTATCATCATAACTGTTGATTATTTATATGTAGTGACTTATAAATCCACATTAATTACTATATGTGTCTGTATTATTATGTTATATTCATATTCTATTCATTCGTTTTTAATACTTGTTTAATTGCTTGTAGTTGATTTACTGTAACATATTGTACCTGATCAGTTATTCAGAAACACCTGATCAATAATTTAATCCCTAGGCCAACAGTAAACTAGAGTGAAACAGATTATTGTTGTCACCTTCACACAGATTAGAAAATATTAGAATCCAATGCAATCAGGTCACTTATAAAGCGCCTTTCTTTGCAGATACGAAGCGCTGCACCCCACACACTTAGGCACCTCACAACCCACAGGCAGTCATGATCATTCCCTAACCCAAGCACAAAACAAGTAAACAAATCAAAAGAAGCTGCGCAGTGACAAAGTTCAGAATTATACATAATGCAACAATAAATTAAATAAAAATTAAAATGAAGATAATTAATTAAAGAGGTGAGTTTTTAAGTTAGATGAATGGCATCACGCACAGAAAAGATTTGTTTTTACGAATTCGCTAGAAGTTTCTAAATTTAGAAGTTAACTAAATTAATTGAAAAATTAGAAGCCTAAGGATTTTTTAATTTGTTACGTTAAAAATCATTGTACACAAAGAGTTAATTATTGAATACAGTATTTATAGCTAAGAAGTGTAAATTGCGGAATATTTCAAAAGCAGGAGTTTAAATTGATGGAGCATATACAGTATTTAAGAGTTGAATAATTTAGTATTAAACTTTTACCAAGCCTTTGAATTATGAAAATATTCAAAGCTTAAGTAGTCATTAATTATTTAAATATTAGTAGCGTGAAAGCTTTTTATTTCAGTTGCATATCCTATTAAACACTCATAATCAAATTTTCTATCAAAATTACATAATTTTGTGTATGTTTCCATTCATTTATATTGAATTCCTCAACATGTAGCGTATACTAACACAAGTTAAAATCTTGTAAAGTTTAGTTGAATTGTGCCCCATGTGTACAATATAATCCACCATCTAGTTATAAAGTTTCCATTTTGTAAAATATTTATAGAATCATCCATAGCGTCCATCCTTAAGACACATACAGTATATCTTCAAACTTGCCAGAAAATTAATTGTTTATCTTAAGTTTACATGCTGCCATATGAGGATGTACTCGAGGAGGGAATTTAAATTATTTTTTTTAGATACCTAAGAGGACTTATGTTTTCATCAAGTTTACCTTAAAAGCCCGTAGTCATTCCCAAAGAGAAGCATATTCAATCAGATAAACAAGTTCATAATTCAAAACATTAGAAACAAAAGTTTATAATACTTAAAATAGCTCCTGAATCTTGTTTAAAAGTTTATTAGATAAGACCGTGTGTTAGTTTAGAGAGTACGAAAGATTCACAGATTGAAAAATCACATTTGAGGTTACAATTTTGATTATATAGTTGTAAGAGTAAATCAATTATATTCTGCCATGAATATTTATTGTATCATTAACATAATTATTGTTAATGAGCATTCTCAATTACTTACTTACACATTCACCTGAAGAAGTGTGCTGTGTGCTTGAAAGAATTGTCATTAAAACTAGTCTTTAAAGTGCTTCATGTTGTTTTATTTACCAATTCTGTTTTATTTACCAATTCTTACTCAATTCTGTTGGAAGCTTGAATCTGAACTTGTTTTTTTTTTCATTTCAGACGTTAAAAGTGGTAATATCAGATTTTGGAAAAGCGAAGGATGTTACAACAATCAGACGAAGAAAGCGAGGAGGAACAATTCAAAAATCGGAGGAAACAATAAAAACGTATGAAGATAATTATCTGAATGTTCCAGGTTCGATCTCTTTAAAAGTATTTCATGAAAATGAATGGGCAGAGAACGTTGAACTTTTTGTGGCAGATATACGTGCATTTGCAATCATGTTGTGTGAGATGCTGTTATGGTCTTCAACTGAAACATGCAGAAAGTATCTCAGTGCTACTGGAAGGAATAATTTTGCTTTTCTTCAGGATGATAATACTGCAAAAGAAATGTCAGGAGATGGTAAATCCAATGATTGTCTTGCTTCAAAAGAATCTTCTCATGTGAAGGTAAATGCAGAGATGACTTCCCCCTCAAAATCCACAAATATAAAATCCATCAATGAATCACAAGAATTTTCCAAATTAAATGGACATGTTAGAGAGTCTTCCATGGAAGATGGACCAGCAAAGAGAGAACCATATGTTGGTGGAGGTCATAGACATCATTTTGTGCAAAGCATGCCACCTCCAGTTTTTGGAGACCTCACCACCAAGCATCTGGATATGCTTCTAGAAGAGGCAAACAATCAAGTTTTAGAAATGGAAATGGAGAGCAAAAAGTTAAAAAGTATAAACACAGATAAATCCGAGGAAGTTCTTAACCACCGAATATTGTACGATAGAAAGTATCGCGAAAGTCTTGTAAATTTACTTACAGAATTTCAGGAAGAAAGTGACCAACAACTTGAGAACTCATGTGAACTTACTTGTCCAACAAAAAGCTTAGAAGAAGAGTTATGTAAAAGTTCCAGGACACTAAAAAAGGAAAAGAATAACAAAGCTGTTGAGAAAGACAGTAATGAGATGAGGAGCAGTTCAGATTCATCAGGAACTGAGGTTGCAGAGAATGATCTCTTTGGTCTTGATTCAACAAATGACCTCTTACAGCTTCTTCCAGATGGATCATCAAAAAGGAAAAGTATTTGTAGTACAGATAGTGGAATATCCTCCCAACAGGAATCTCTTTCTAATTTCACCACAAATAAAAATGGTAAGAAAGACCAGAATCCTGTAATTGGTATGAATAATAAGGTTCCGGGCTGGTCACGGCATCTACAATCTAACTCTCTCTCTCCAACACCCTTTCATTTTCGCAATATTCCCAGGTGTCGCACAACGATATATGCAAAGAGCTCAACAGATAATGATATACCATCTTTTTCTGTCCTAAGCCAAATGATTGAAACATGGATTCAAAGTCATGCTGATCAAGACTGCGAATATCGTTCAAGTATTCTGGATGGCGTTCAGAAAAGCCGAGCTAACATCCCAGAGACAATTCCTGAATCAGACAGCGATAAAAGATACTCTGATCTACGCAAAGCTTGTAGTACTGGTGCCATTGATGATGATAGCAACTGGAACGATGAAAATGATCAGAAAAACCAATCTACACCTGGCACACCAGAACCAAAACACAAGAGCTCACTTTCGCAATTTTATGTTCGGAAAACCGGAACCAAGAATACAGGAACTCCAGGTTTTACAAAAGCAACCAATAAGAATGTTGCATCACCTGTACACTACCACGGAAGACAGTACAGCAATCATTTATATAAAAAATGGAGGAGCGCAGATAATGTGAACAATCACAGGAATGGCATAAACTTGACTTGTCCAAAATGTTTGTTACCAGATAGACTCCTTTCACCAGAATTGGATGTCACTGACCCACTTCAAACGCCAGTGCAAGGTCGTTGCAACTGTGCACCCCTCAACAACTGCCTTAATTCAGCTGCAAGTCCGCAACTTAGAAAGCACTGGCAAAATGAAAACATATACACACCCATGTTACCTGCAAACAACCAGAAACCGCAACAGAGAATGACCTCGGAGTCTTTCATGCCAGAGATTACAGAACTGTGCACCACTAATCTAGATACACCTGATGTTCAATACTTTGACTGCGATGTGGTTCTCCCATCTGGTGTCAACAAACATCATCAGTTTTACCTATCCGAATTGCAGCGCCAATTTTCCTGGTTGCCACAAGTAACGGCAGAACTGCTTAGAGATGAAGAGAGGAGATGTAAGGCCTTCTCCAATTGGTTACAAGTTTTGAGACGAGATAAAGGCTACCTGCATCAACAGGTTAGTAGTAATCTCATTTTCAAACCGTTTAAACTTTGATGACATATTCAAGAGTCTGTAAACTACTGATTAGCTTCTAATTCAAGGGTCATAGTTCAAGCCTCCCAAGATGTTTATTATATTATAAAATTTCACACTAATTCATAATACTTTACTTTCATTTTAATAATGATACTAATTACCATGATTAATATTTGATGACGGAGAAAATTATAAAAACTGTGTTTAATGGGGGTTTAATGATCTAGCAGCAATGTGCATACATTAATAATACATAAAATAATTTTAAAAAATTAAATTATTTAAAAAATAAAATAACATAAAAAGTATTTAAATCAATGTTAATATCAATAAATAAATGTTATAATGATAATTTAATGATCATAATTATTAAATAATGATGATAAAATGTTAATAATTGTAATGATAGTGATATAATAACAAAATACCAATACTAATTATAATATAGTACTATTAATTATAATGATTTAATGATAATAATGATACTAATGATAATTCTTGTTATTGTTATGTAATATTAGTAGTAATAGTTTTAAAAATTAATATAATTATTGTTAATGATGATAAAATGTTAATAATTGTAATGATAGTGATATAATAACAAAATACCAATACTAATTATAATATAGTACTATTAATTATAATGATTTAGTGATAATAATGATACTAATGATAATTCTCGTTATTGTTATAGTAATATTAGTAGTAATAGTCTTAAAAATTAATATAATTATTGTTATTGATGTTGTTAATTTCATGTTGTCATAGTTATCATAGTTATTGCTTGTATTTATTTATTTTATTTTAATTTTTTTTAACCATATTTATAGGGTGACCCTTTCAGCGTATTCTAGAAGGTTGGCTGATATTCAGGGGCTCTCAAATAAATGAAAATAATGTGATGCTTTTATCAGTGATGTTTCGTTATGAGGCTTAGGGAGTGAATTGAACCTGGGACCCTGGGATCGAAAGGCAAGCATCTTAACCATTAAGCTATTTAACTCCACTCCATATATTTCTAGTAATGATTATATTAGTACTGTAGTACTAGTAATAGTTGTAATAGTAGTTTTATTTTTATTTCAATACATGTAAATACCTCCAGGAAAAAAGTATAATGGACGAGAATTTTTTTTTTTTTTTTTTTTTTTTTTTTAAAAAACTTTTTTAAACTGATTTTTTTTTTTTTTAATTTTTTTTTTTTGTTATAAAACATGATTATGAATAATCTTCCTCTCATTTTTAATCCTTGAACTTCTGCAAAAGGATATTAAATACTGGTAAGAGGAGGTACCAATCACCTCCCCTACAAAATATACTTCACACCTCTCCAATTCGAATTAAGTGATTATTTCTTAATAAAAATCTTGACACTTACTAAATCTGGTCCTCATTTCAATATAAAGCTTGTTCTCAGCAATTAACATTTTATGGAGTTGTGTACTCTCGGAGTAGCAATAAGCGAGTCCAGCTATAAATAGAAAAAAATATGGATCTTATTAATTTTATAGTATGGTTATTATTTTGGTTTGATGAGGAATAACCCTGGCTTCCTGGTTTGATTATTGATAAGATTAACGGCCGAGACCATGACTCTACTATGGTGAAGTGTGTGTCATGTGTAATTTTTTTCTAATCCTATCAGAGGGTAAAATTTTAGGGCTTTTGACTAATCGGAATAGTAATTTCAGTAGGTCGTTGCCCTTTGGGGAGGTATTACTCACTGGGGTGCCGTGACAATCGATCCAGTATTGATGTCATTCCCCCAGATTTACGTACACCTGCCAACATTGTTTGTCTATGATGAGACTATTTGTGCGACACAGGAGCAAGAGAATAGCGCCCTCACTGTTACCAAAATTTGAAAGCAAAAACAAGATGATATTAAAAAGCAATTGTCACTTCTTTTCAAACTGGTTAAAATTACTAATGTCAATGTTTTTTTTTGGTTTTTGTTTTTTGTTTTTTGTTTTTTTTTTGTTGCTACAAGTAATGTCATGATTAATGTTTATAATTTTATTTTTTTAAACACCCATTCAAGGTATTTTTAATTAATTTAATAATTATTTCATGACTAAATTAAAGATTTCATTCCCTAGTGTTAACGAAAGCCCTCAGTGACTAATATCCGTTTTGCACACAATCGTTAACTCTAGATGTGTATAAGAGACAGTATATATATAGTGAGTCCAAATAAATGACATGACAAAATCATTTTGGTGAATGTTTTTTTTTAAAGAGACAGAGAAAGAGTGTTGTAGATATAAACACAAATGCTACAGTGTTTTTAATCCTCTTTCATTATTGTGTCCTGTCTGCAAGAAATTAACAACTGAATTTAAGGTCAATGGACCGTTGACTGTTCATTCCATTGAGACGATTGTGGTCACAGAAATAAATCATAAATTTAATTTATTAACTTATGCCTGAAATAAATTAAATCCGATTCTAATTACCTGATCACAAACATACTTCTTTTGAAAATAGTACTTTTTTAGTGTCTTCAATATTCAACCTAAGTTAATTAAAGGTCATTTAGGCTAAAGATTAAATAGCAATAATGGCATAAATATATATTTTTTTTTCTCTTTCGTGTGGATTATCCACCTTTATTCATTACAGTATTGCTTTTCAGTATTTTTCATTTTTTGTTCAAGAATACAATATTGGCATACCATCCTTATGGACATGTCTTCATCACTTACATAATATACAACTAATACGGATATCTGCAAACTTGTACTAGCCTTTAATCAATAATAACAACTATGACTTGAGAAATATATATCATTGTTGGATTTTTTTGATAATTATATATTACCAAGTCTCTCTTTTTATATTAGAAGGTTTCCGTCGTAATATAGATGTGTTCAATTCATCTTCTTTTTCTTTTCTTTTTTTATATATTTTTTAAAAATCATTCCGTCACATAGACCAGCTCAATGCACAAGTCATTTATTGGATAAATATATGTATATAAAAACAGGACTATTTTATTATTATTAATGTATTTTCACTGTACTACTTTTATCATTATCTTATTATTCTTATTGTTATAATCATCATTATCATCATAATCATATATTTCTGTACTTGAATTGAATCAATCCAACACATAGAGCACTAGAATAGAATATTATTTGTAATTTTGATAAATTTGCAAATAGCAGGTCAGAGTAATTGTATTTATTCTAATTTCAGATGGTGAAAATTGTTGAAAGATCTTGGAGAGAGGAGCCACCACTTGCAGCACAAGAGATCAAAGACCTCCTGCTAAAGTGCCTTCCAGAAACACCGCTTTGATTTTTCACACTAGAACATTATTTGCATCAAAAAAGACTCCTTGCTAAACTGCTTTCCAGAAATACCACTTTAAGCTTCCTCAGAATTAGATCACTGAAATGGAATTCTCATCAGACGATTTGAGACTTTCTATTAAACTGCCTTCCTGAAATACCTCTTTGAGCATCCTCCAAAATAGATCACTGAAAGAGAAGTCACCACTTGCACCAGAAGATTTGAGACTTGCTACTAAACTGCCTTCCAGAAACCCCTCTTTGAGCATCCTTCAATATAGATCACTAAAAGAGAATTCACCACTTGCATCGGAAGATTTAAGACCTGCTGCTCAGACTGCCTTCCAGAAGCCTTTCTTTCAGCATCCTAAAAATATATCCCTGTGGAAGAGGCCCACTTTCATCACAGTAGATCAAGAACCTCCTGCTAATCTCTTAGCAGATTTATTTAATCATCTTCCAAAATAGATCGCTGAGAAAATGGTGCACTTGCATCACTAAAGAAGACCTCTTACTAAGCCTCCTCGAGGAAACACCTCTTTGAGCATCAACCAAAATAGATCAATGTGAGAGAGAGGAGCCAGCACTTGCATCACAAGTGATCAAAGACATTTTTGTAAAAGCTTCTTCAAGAAACGCCTCTTTAAGCATCCTCATAAATAAGTAAAGATATTGTAATACTATTGGTATATTTTGTGAGTCGTTGTCAAGAGCCCTCATGACCGAACTCTAAGAAAAAATTTCACTAATGTAGCGTAAGATTTGGCGTGTAAAAAATTAAAAATCTAATTTAAGCGTACGGAAATGAACACTCCACTTCATATACTTGAAAACTATGTATTTTTGGTGGATAGTAAAAATTTGAATGGAAATTTTTTTAGTAAATGTGTTAAGTTTTAAAATAAAACATTCTATAATATGGATGACATGAATGACTTTGCATTAATCCGGAATTATCTTTCAATAACATTAGCAATCAAACAGTCTCCAGGAAGAGAAAATGTTTTTAAAAGTTGATTATTTTAATATGGAAAATAAAAATGAAACTTGTATTTTTGACATTTTTATAATGAGCACTGACATGGTAGGCATTGCCATCCGATTGGTCCGTAAGGATTACGCACAAGGCTGATCGTGTTACCTGATTAACAGCTCATACATATTCATATTCAAAAGTAGCACGTAAAGGTGAATTATAGGGTTTTCATCTGCAGTAGTTGTTTCCGGTGCTAAAAGAGATGATCATGCAGGTCTATAATGTTTATAGCTTAATGATTCTGCAGTTGTTCATTAATTTGTAAAGGGGTAAGAAATTGAAGGGAAATTAGTTAACATTAAGCTGCTAATTAAGGAACCATTAATTAGCAAAAGTCAATAATAACCATTGAATTACATTATATGTGTACAATGTCAATAGATGCAGTTCCAGTCCTATTATTACCAAGGCTTATATATATAT